ATCAATTAATAAAGTTAATCAAACAAACTAAATAAATATCAATTAATAAAGTTAATCAAACAAATTAAATAAAATAAACAAAATAAATAAATAACAAAAGTGCACAAAATAAAAATATTTAAACAAGTAATTAAGTGGGTTTTAGTGCTAAAGGCTAAGGAGAGAAAGGGTTTAGGGTTTAGGGTTTAAATGATTTCAAGGGTTTAGGGTTTAGGGTTTAGGTACCTGGACGATATCATGTGCTAGATAGAGGGTATTGAGTTTATGAGTTTGTGTTTTTAATTCTTTCTGCTGTCTGTACATAGCTGCTGCAAGTGCTGCAGCAGCAGCAGCATCTGTTTCACCGCTGCTGCTGCTGCTGTTGCTGCTGCTGCTGCTGCTGCTGCTGCAGGAGACCTCAACCCACTTCCTAGCAGCTCGTATATGTTCTGCTGTTGCATCATCTTCAATTGTTTTAATTAACTCAGACAATTCTTTTTCTTTATCTGCTTTCAAGGGGGCTTCTTGCTGCGGCTGTCTGTACAGCAGCAGCAGAGACTCAACGTCATAGGACCACCCTACTTCCACCTGCTGCTGCTGCTGCTGCTGCTGTTGCTGCTGCTGCTGCTGCTGCTGCTGAAGAGGAGGAGGAGGAGGAGGAGGCGGCCTTGCTGCTTCTTGCTCAGGAGTTATACCCTTCTCAAAGCAGCTCACCAGGTACCTGCAGCGCAAACCCTAAACCCTAAACCCTAAACCCTAAACCCTAAACCCTAAAAAGGGGTTATCTTTCTCTTCTTTCTACCACCCGCATTTAACACTCCTTTGCTGGGCTGTTGGAAGTTCAGGGCTTAGGGTTTAGAATGCTGAGGGTTTAGGGTTTACGGATTAGGGTTTACAAGGGTTTAGGGTTTATAATAATAAGGGTTTAGAGTTTATAATGGTAGGGGTATAGGGTATAAGATATTGAATATCACGGATTTAGGGTTTAGGGTTTACACTTTTTATTGTCTAGGGTTTAATGATAGGGGTTTAGGGTTCCGAGCGTAGGGCTAAGCCTGTTGAGGGTTTAGGGTTTAGGGTTTACGATTAAGATATTGCAGGGCTTAGAGTTTACCGAAAAGAGATTTTAGGATTTAGGGTTTAGGGTTTAGGGTTGCTGTAGAGTATCCGGTTAATGTTTAGGGTTGTATAAAGACACTTTAGGGTTTAGGGTTTAGGGTTTAGGGTTTGCCTGTAGTAGTCGCAGCCCTCGCCCCCCATCAGAAAAGAAAAGCGAGGGTCTGCACCGTCTCGCTGCCGCACCAGCCGTTCCATCTCGGGATTGCGGCCGCAGTACTCTGAACACAAACCCTAAACCCTAAACCCTAAACCCTAAACCCTAGACCCTCATCATGCTAAATACACCCTTGCAATTCTAAACCCTAAACCCTTCTCATCTTAAACCCTAAACCCTTGACCCTCTAAATCCCTATCATTCTAAACCCTTAACTGATAACACTCCAAACCCTAAACCCTAAACCCTAAACCCTAAACACTTGCCTGCCATAGTACGGATGCGTTTTGCAAGCTCGGGGTCTGCTGGCGGCTGAACTGTTTGTCTGCTGCTGAAGGCAGAGCCGTAGGGAGACATCTGTGCAGTTTGTCCATAAGGACTTGCTGCTGCTGCTGCTGCTGCATGCGCTGCTCCTGCTGCTGTTGCTGCGCTGCCTGGCGCTGCTGCTGCAGCAGAAGCAGCAGGGGAGCCGTAAGAAGAGTTTGTCTGGGGGGAGTAGCCGTAGCCCTGGGCATACATCTGCTGTTGCTGATAGGGGTATGCTGCTGGCGTATGCTGCTGCTGCTGCTGCTGCTGCATGTACTGCTGCTGCTGCATATGCTGCTGCTGCTGCTGCATGTAGTGCTGCTGCTGCATCATCATCTGGTGCATTTGCTGCTGCTGCGTTGCGTCGTACCCTGCAGGAGCATAACCCCCCATGTGCTGCTGCATGTAGTGCTGCATGTGCTGCTGCTGCTGCTGCTGCTGCTGCTGCTGCATGTACTGCTGGGGGTGAGCCCCCCCCTGATTCCACATGGTGGCTGCTGCAGCAACTTAAACATTCGAACAGCAGCAAACAATTGAAACAACAGAGAACACTTCTGTTGCCTTCTTCTATAGGGTTTAGGGTTTAGGGTTTAGGGTTTAGGGTTTAGGGTTTAGGCCTCGAGGGCCGGACTGCGAGCCCCCTCCGGCTCCTCTCTCAAAACAAATATCTTTAAAACTCTTTTGTTGTTTTAATTTGAAGATAAAGGGGCCGTGGAGGTAATTGGGGCTGGAGCAGCAGCAGCAGCAGCAGCAATTGCTGCTGCTGCTGCTGCTGCTCCAGCGCATGCAATCTGCAGCAAAGCCCCAGCCAGCCCCGACCCACCCCTGGGAGCCGCCGACACCGCTTGGCGTCTCGCGGATGTCTGCAGCAGCAAATACAGTTTTCTTGTTTTTTTCTGTTTTGTTTGTGTTTATAAATAGCCAGTCAAGCAGCAGAACACCTTGTTAAGTGCAGCAAGAGCAAGAGCAGCAGCAGCAGCAGCAGCAGCAACACCAACAGCAGCAACAGCGAAGATGAGGGCTGGATGTCTTGTGTGCAGATGTTGTTATCTTTTTCTCGTTGGCATCGGCCTTGCTCCTGCTGCATTTGCCTTTAGGGGGTCGAACTCATCTCTAAATCTCACTGCTGCTGCTGCTGCACACCCAGGAGCAGCAACACCAGCAGCAACACCAGCAGCAGCAGCAGCAACGACACCCCAAGCATTATCTGCTGCTGTTGGATCGGATCTAACTGCAGCAGCAGCAGCAGCAGGCAGCCAATCCGCCTTAAACGCCTCAACAACAGCAGCAGCAGCTGCAGCCGACAGCAGCAGCAGCAGCAGCAGCAGTGGTGTATATATGGACGGTAAGACTGTTTCTTCTTTAACACAAAGTATATCTTCAGCTGTCTATACAGCTGAAGACATTAAAAAGATACTTCCTCACCGCTACCCCTTCTTATTAGTAGATAAAGTGCTGTTTTTTAAACCCGGAGAAGCAGCAGTTGGCGTCAAACAAATTACAAACAACGAAAATCAGTTCAACGGACACTTCCCTGAGAGAGCTATCATGCCAGGCGTCCTTCAGGTAAACCTCGTATACAATATATATATATTTATTTATTTATTTATATATATATTTATCTTTGTTTATCTTCATTTAGCTTTATATATATATATAGTAGTGATATGTACTGTATATTTAGTAGTGTATATATATTTATATATGTAGTATAGTATCGAATTAATACAAATAAATTAATGTCTGTTTTTAATTTATTTATTTACATTTGTTTAATATACCCGTAAACCCTAAACCCTTAAAGCTAAACCCTAATCCGCAAGCTGCAGCTTTTATCTTTTTTTGTATATTCATTATGAAGGAGACGGCGGTAGCGAGGTTTATATCGTAAATATGTGATGTATGTAGTTTAAACAAGCCCTAAACCCTGTTCTATATACCTAGCAAACCCTAAACCCTAAACCCTAATATATTGGGGTGTATGTACAGGTGGAGGCCCTCGCACAGTTAGCTGGCATCGTCGCGCTGCAGCCGCCGCTGTCGAACGGCAGCGGACTGTTCTTCTTCGCAGGAGCAAACGGAATCAAGTGGAAGAAACCTGTCGTACCAGGTATAACACTCTCTAGGGTTTAGGGTTTAGGGTTTAGGGTTTAGGGTTTTTGGGGGTTTTGGGGTTAGCGGGTAAAAGTTTAGGGTTTTAGGGTTTAAGGGTTCACTGTTTAAGGGGCCGGGTTAGGGTTTAGGGTTTAGGGTTTACAGACAATCAGACAAGGATTTAGGGTTTAGGGTTTAGGGTTTTGTTGATGTATGTTCGTTGTTGTATATTACTCTGTATTTACTCTCAGTGTGTCACTGCGTTTTATTTACTAATATTATTAATATTATTAATATTATTTTATTTATATATATATATATTTATTTATTTATTTACTAATGATTATATTGATTAGTTGTATTCGCCTTCTTCGTTGTTTGTTTGTCCTCACCACACAATTCGCATTTACGCATTTCTTTATCCACTCAATTTACTTTTAATAACTTAATCAATTAATTAATTAATTAATTTATTTATTTATTTATTTATTTATTTATTTGTTTATTTATTTGCTCAGGAGACAGCTTAGTGATGGAGGTGCAGCTGCTGAGTTGGAAGGAGAAATTTGGTCTGTGTAAATTCAGCGGCCGAGGATTCGTCGATGGGCAGCCGGCAGTTGAAGTTGCGGAGATGACTTTCGCATTCAATAAATAATATTATTTCTTATTCTATTGCTGCTGCTGCTGCTGTTGCTAGGGCTGCTGCTGCTGCTGCTAGGGCTGCTGCTGTGGCTGTGGCTGCTGCTGTTCTTGCTGACGTTGAAGCAGCAGCGAGGTGTTGTCTCCTTGTCTTTGTCTTCGTTTTCTTCTTTTTCTTTGTTCGTCTTCTTTGTTTCTTCGTTTGGGGGCGCGGGGCTGCCTCCCATACGCGTTCCTAGCTAGCTAGCTAGCTAGCTAGCCAGATGGATAGCTAGCTAGCTAGCTAGCCACATAGGCGCTTTAGGGCGTCGAGCTGGCGGAGAGAGGAGTGCCTCCCCGCCAGCTTTGCTCAGCTACCTAGCTAGCTAGCTAGCTAGCTATGCCGCAGTTACTGTACAACGCTTCCGAGTCCAGGATCGCCGTACAGTCTGGGAAGAGGTGGATTTAGGGTTTAGGGTTTAGGGTTTAGGGTTTGAATTTGTAAAGACAACGGACCTGCACATGTTGCTGGTCGCCTTAACCACCTCCCATACTGCGAAAACAATATCATTTGAAGTATTTGAAAGACTCAGGATTTAGGGTTTAGGGTTTAGGGTTTAGGGTTTAGGGTTTAGGGTTTACCTTGGCTTGAGCCCATGTAGAGAGAGGCGTAGACGGGGTATGGCAGCTTGCAGGTGTACTGACAGCAAGCGAAGCCTCAGTGCACAAATAGGAAGCTTCTAGCTAGCTGCAGCTAGCTATTAGCAGCAGCAGCAGCAGCAGCAGCAGCATAAGCAGCAGCAGCAGCAGCAGCATAAGCAGCAGCATCAGCATCAGCATCATAAGCAGCAGCATCAGCATCATAAGCAGCAGCATAAGCAGCATCAGCAGCATAAGCATCAGCATAAGCAGCAGCATAAGCAGCATCAGCAGCAGCAGAGTGCATTGAAGAGCTATAGATGATAAAATTAGAGTATTATATTATACCGGGAAGCTCTTGAGTACGCAGAGGTGAACAGGGCCGACGAAGAGACAGCCGCACATCAGCGATATCAGCGAATTTAAGACGTGAGTCAGCGAATTAAATATACTGTTTGCCCTCGCTGCTCCTTCTCTGTTTATAATTACAATAATTATTATTAATCTAAATATTATATTAATCATAATAAATAGTATTAGTATTATTATTGTTGTTATTATGTTGTTGTTGTTAGTAGTAGTAGTAGTAGAATTATCATTATTATATATCATGCGGCTGTTTTGATGTTTAGAGGTGCTTTATGTTTATTATTATTTTATTATTTTTATTGTTTTATTATTATTATTATTGGCAGCAGCAAAAGAGAAAGAGAGAGGAGAGAAAACATTCACACAAACAAAGACAAAATAATTAAACAATAAAACAACAAAACAGAAACAATAATATATATAAATATATAAAAATATATAAGAATATACAGATATATATGTATATATATATAAATATATATATATGCATATATATATACAGATATATATGTATAAATATATATAAATATATATATATATAGAAAAAATAAACAAAAGAAAGAGGATAGACAAACATCCAAACAAAAACAACAAAAAGAATTAAAAAGGCAGAGCGATGAACGACAACGAGCAAAACAACAAAAAAACAAAAAACAAAATAAAACAACAAAGAGAAAAACAAACAAAAGGCAAAGCCAAAAGAATAAAAACAAGAAAAATAAAAACAAATAATAACGACAAAAGAATGAAAAAGAATAAAAACAAAAAATAAAACAAAAGAATATAAAAGAATAAAAACAAATAATAAAACAAAAGAATAAAGACAATAAAAAAAAATAAAAACAAATAATAACGACAAAAGAATATAAAAGAATTAAAACAAATAATAAAACAAAAGAATAAAAACAAATAATAAAACAAAAGAATAAAGACAAAAGAATAAAGACAAATAATAGAGACTAATAAAGACAAGAATAAAGACAAATAATAAAGACAAATAACAAAGACAAATAATAAAGACAAAAGAATGAAGGCAAATAATAAAGACAAATAATAAAGACAGAAGAATGAAGACAAAAGAATGAAGACAAATAATAAAGACAAAGAAAGAAAAGCAGCAAATGCGTACCTGGCGTAATTACAGCGGTTGACGATATGCTGAAAAGAAAATTAAAACGACTTTTAAATTTGTTTGTCTGTTTTTTATTATTTTTGTTTATTTATCATTAATACTAAATAAATAAACAAATAAAATTATGTTATTTACTATTAATAAGTCTTTTTATTGTTTGATTTTTTCCTTTTGTTTATTTATAGTTAATTATAAATAAACTGTCTATTTATAAATAACTCTTAGTATTATTTATTACAAGAATTCTTATTTACTATAGATAAGTACTCTTACTACTATAACTATGCTAATATATTATTTACTCGTCAGTGCTGTCGTCTGTATATATATATATATATATATAATATATATATATATATATGCATAGATGTATATACACGTAGATTTAGATAGATGTATATATAAACATACGAATCTATCTACATATACAGAAATAGCTATTGGCATATATACATATATATATATATATATATTTTATATATGTATACAAATATATATATATATATATTTGTATACATATATTTGTATACATATATATATGTACAAATATATATATATATATATATATGTATATATATATATATATACAAATCTGTATATATACAAATATATATATATATATATACAAATCTATATATATACAAATATATATATATATATATATACATTCATACATTAATATTCATACTACATTTTATAAATAACATATTATTTAATTAGTTTTGTTGTATAGGCAGCATTTTAATCAATTATTTAGGCCGCTATTCCTTTACTCTTTATTTCTATTCTTACAGAAGTGCATATT